ACTCATGTCTTAGCGATCAAAGATATGGCTGGATTGCTCAAACCGAGAGCAGCCGAAATGTTGATCGACGCAATAAGGCAGAAGCATCCGGATGTGCCTCTTCACATACACACGCACGATACTGCTGGAGCTGGAGTAGCCTCCATGTTGGCCTGTGCGAAAAGTGGTGCCGATGTTGTGGACGTTGCCGTTGATAGCATGTCCGGCATGACCAGTCAGCCTTCTATGGGCGCCGTTGTTGCATCTCTTCAGGGTACAGTTTAATAACGTTTGCATTTTGAGTGATAGTAAATAATTAATTTTTTTATCTTTTGTATATATATATATATACAAAAGGAACGATTTTATTAAATTACCTAAAAATTTAGTTAGATGCAGATCTAAAAATAATTTTGTTGGACTATCAAAATAAATTATATAGAAAACTCACAAAAAGTTTTGATATTTTAGCAATCAGTTTGAGCGCCCTACATAATTATTTTCAGACCTATAGCTAATTAAATCTGCAAAACCGTTTTTTCCATATATCTATATGTAAATATGTGATAATTTTTCACATTTTAATTTGAATGATAACTGACAACTTGAATTACGCTTTAATTATTTTAATTGCTGTTATATAACATTGTAATGTTTTATCAGTTTATTTAGATTAAATTTATTATTAATCAGAATAATAAGAAATAAAATTATATTAACCCATTAAGAACCGCTAGTCGATTTTTCGACTAAAAAAAGTAGGTCAACTGTGAGATGCAAAATTTTTGGCAAGTAGGCTCCTTAAGGGCATAGTAGCTTGCCATTAAAAGGATTTTAAATTTTGAGGAAAAAAATTTGTCTTGGTCCTTAATGGGTTAAAATTTGATTAATGCTGAAGCTAAGAAAATTTTCAATTAATATCATAATAGGAACGGACAATGATACAAAATTGGATCTATCTGATGTCTCCGAGTATTCAGCATATTGGGAACAAACGAGAACGCTTTATGCACCTTTCGAATGCACAACAACGATGAAGTCCGGAAACGCGGATGTCTACCTTAACGAAATTCCTGGTGGTCAATACACGAATTTGCAATTCCAAGCTTATTCACTCGGTCTGGGCGAATTCTTCGAGGACGTGAAGAAGGCATATCGACAAGCCAATCTTTTGCTCGGTGATATTATCAAAGTTACACCGAGCTCCAAAGTTGTCGGTGACTTAGCACAATTTATGGTTCAGAACAAATTGACCGCCGATGATGTTCTCAAGAGAGCCGAAGAACTATCGTTCCCTAAATCAGTAGTCGAATTTCTTCAGGGTGCCATTGGTGAACCTCACGGAGGATTTCCTGAACCTCTCAGGTAAGAGTTTGCGTGCATACACGAATGTTAATTTCGCGGTAATTCTTTCATTGCATTTATTTTGCGTTTATGATTTGATCAGGTCGAAGGTTCTCAAAGACATGCCACGCGTGCAAGGCAGACCAGGCGCGAGTTTGGCATCACTCGACTTAGATGCCTTGAGAAAGGAATTGAAAGAATCTCACCCACACGTTACCGAAAAGGATGTCATGTCGGCCGCGCTCTATCGTAAAGTAACGAAGGATTATTTGAACTTCAAGGAACAATTTGGCCCGGTAGACAAATTGGAAACTAGAATCTTTCTCACGGGGCCTAAAGTAGGCGAGGTATTCGATGTCACAATTGAGAAGGGCAAAACTCTCGGTATCAAAACCCTGGCAGTTGCGGAAGATCTCACGAAAAATGGCGAACGTGAGGTGTTTTTCGAAATGAACGGTCAACTGAGATCTGTGTTCATCAAGGATAAAGAAGCCGTTAAGGTAAATGAGACTCGCAAATTTTCGGTATTATTTTATGTACTATCACGTGATTCAATTAAGTATAATTAAAATTAAAATGTTAAATGATAATAAAACTGAGATTAAAATAAAATTATCTTACATATGAAGATAATTAAAAGGTTATTTTGTTACTACAATTAAATTGAGATTAAACGAATATCTCAAACAAAGTACGATACGAATTTTTCTATTCTTTGTGCAGGAATTGCATGTGCATCCAAAAGCGACGAAAGGTGACAGTAATCATCTGGGAGCGCCGATGCCCGGCGAAGTGATCGACATTAGGGTAAAAGTGGGCGACACTGTGGAAAAAGGTGCACCATTAGTTGTGCTATCTGCTATGAAGATGGAGATGGTTGTGCAAGCGCCTAAAGCAGGCAAAATCAAAAGCCTTGAAATTAGCTTGGGCATGAGATTAGAAGGAGACGATCTCGTTCTGACATTCGAATAAATTCTCGCACTGATGGGATCGACCTAAAAATCAAATCGTGTAAAAGCAACCCTAAATATTTATTGCTATTTATTTTAATAGTGCGTGTGTGAAAGACAAGATTTTCAGCAATCTTCATATGAAGCTTGGATTGAAATTTTTCATTTAATTTAACATTCTATTATCGATGATCATCGGTCCAGAATCATCGATGACTGGTGTTTATTATCCAAGAATTATTATCGCGCACTGATGAACTTTTTAAAACAATTATTACGTTTATTGTTTCTTTCAATAATTTAATTTCTTAGATTGTATATATAAGATCACATCTTATACGGAAATTTAGAAACGTCCGTTTTTACATTAAATAGATACAATAGTTCTATTTAGTTAAACATGAAATTTAATTAATGAAATTTAATTAATGTTGAATTAATTATTTCTCTAAAATAGTCTTTGTTTTTATTGAGATGTTACACTTTCATTTCAGAGCATTAATAAAAATGTTTTAAATATCGTACATATGTCATTTGGAATGATATATGTAAGGCCAATGTGATAAACATGATACAATTAAACAAAGATGCCTAAAAGATCAATTAATTTGTACATTTATACTGTATATATCAAGTAATATCTACTACAGCACTTAAGAAATTTACTTGAGAACTTAAAAAAAATCGACAATATCGCTGTAAATTTTCCAATATAAAGCCTTCTTATGGAACTTTCATAAACAATTAATAAACCCTCTTACACATTTGATTGTTTAAAAAGGATATACATTACTTTTTTTATATCTTAATCATAAGTAGATTTCTGAGGTAAATATAAATAATTGTGATCAATTAAAAATATAAATAATATGGTCAATTCAATTAAAAAATATTAATTAAAAAAATTTTCTCAAGGAATTTAATTCACACGTTATATACATATATAAAACGATTATATCGATGTGATTTAGTTTATCTGTTCATACTGAACAACATATAAAAAGATGGAAAAAAGATCAAGAGTATCTTCTTCATGATTTTATAACGCGATTTTATATTAATTATATAGCGTGTAAATATAAACGATTACCTTCATAATTTAATTACGATATTGAGCTAGCCTTCACGAACGATTTAGCAAGTACGTAGAAAAAATCATTCAGGGAACAAAGACTAAAATATACCTGAAAAGCCTTACCTTTATCTTTTCAAGATTAACATCAAATGTTACATTTTTTTTTAAAGAAAAAAATATAAAAAATCATAATTTAAAAAATTTATTTTGGTAAATATATAATTGTGAATATTATCCTCGTTCTATAATTTTGTAACATAATTTTAGTTACGCAATTTACTGGAAAATATATGTATGAAAGATGTAACAAAATAATCTCTATAAATATGTACATAATTATGCCATAAGCGCGGATATAATATTCTGATTGTATAAATGCATGTTGCATTTGTTGCAACATTTTCTATTATGAATTATATGCAATGTTGTGATAAAATATTTTTTAAAAAGACGATTTTTTAGGAAATAAAGACGTTAAGAAATTGCGTATGACATAAATATAACAATGTAAAATGTTAAACTATATTTTATATATATTGCATCAATATATTTCTACTTTAACCATTTTTAGAATCCATAATAACTTGTTCTTTTACTCAAAAATAAATTAATTATATTTCTTAGTACTTTTTTGTAATCAAAGCCTAAAAAAAATTACATCCTTATAATGAACACATTAAATTATTTTTAATAACTTTTCAATATCTTAAATTAAAAAATATTTTTTTTCAAAGAAAACATATAGTTTTTATCTTTATAATTATAAATTCAATTATTTCTAACAAAAAGATTTTTGAAATAATGTACTAGATTTCTTTATATTGTTAGAAAATTGTTGAGGAAATAATTATGTATTGTTCATCCCTCAATACTTGTCAATAAATCTTGTATACCTTATATTTATACATGTATTTTAATTAATTACTGGATAAAAAATTCAATAATTTCATTACATATTTAATTTCGATATTTTAGATTTAGAATATTTAGATAAACACTCTTAAGTAGAAAAGCATCTTATTTTATTAATTATTTTGTATTAAATTTTAAAAGCTTTATATAAATATTTTTTAAACCATGCTATTATGTATATTATTTTATTTTGTCATATCTTCCAATTAATACGTTGCTTCAAAATAATGTATTATAAATTTTTTGTTTAATACTATAACAATGTCTTTAACATTTTTTTGTAAAGGTGAAAAGATCAATCACTAATCAAAAATATAAGGATAGGACTTTAGGAAATAATCAGAAAGTTTGAGAGTATTCTGTAAAATTCGAAGCTTAGACGAACGGAGTGCATCCATTTATTGTAATAACCCATCATATACTCGAAAGGAGAAGGTCATAAAGAAGTTTTCATGATTCTCTGCAAATATGCGAAAACGTGGCAATAGACTTATGATCTTTAAGTCCAGGCGTTTACAGGTCGTAAATGACAATGGTAAGAGAATATGTCACCGAACGCCGACAAATATATATATAATATATATGTATATATATAAAACATTGTATAAGTTAACATTTCCGACTAAACTCTTATCGGTGTATCGAAATCGATACAATATAATTACAATATATCTGTATAATAAATATGAAATATCGATATATATGTATACAATATATATATCATAATCGTAATAGTTCTGCTCTGATATATTTAGCAATATCTTGTCTGAACGATAAAGAGAATCTTTTTTTCGGTATTTTTGTCTTTTGATAAAGTTTCTCGAGATTACTCGCTAAGAAGATCGGTCCCGAATTTTCCACACGTTGCGCGTCCATTAAAAGAAACCTGTCGTGGAGACTGCTGTCGAACAATTTATACTAAAGCGATTTTCGGTGACTAGATACTTCGAAATCGTAAACTCCTCCGCTTACAAGTACGTACGCTCGTAGTAACATGATATATGCGAACTGGAGGTAAATATGTGTCGATGAGAAAGGTAGAGTGAACTAGTGAGAGACTTTGGAAGGCAAAGAGTGGACGAACTCTTAAAACTATCGACCCGACCGGTGGATTATTTTACGAATTATTCGTAACGTCGACTCGCCGAGTCGATAGTTCGATAATAATTGCTTGTTGATAAACTTCCCTGTTGCACTCGACCGAATGAAACAACTAATAATGAAATTAAATTATAAATGCAAATAGATATAACTCTACGGAACTTGCGTTCTACATCATCACCATTATTAAATAATGTGAGGTACACGAGGGTCGAGGGAAGAAAGTCCACACAAAGGCTAAACTTTCAAGGTTGCCGCATCTGATAAAATGTGCATAACATAACACGCGATTTAACCCTTTATGATCCAAGGTTACATCATGCTGATCGGAGGTGGCGAGCATTTTACACTTATTTTGCACTCGTATCAAAGTTATTCTGATATATCAAGGCTACTCCACAATCGCGAACGTTTAAATGAGTATTTATTCATACTTGAATCATAAAGAATTAATCGCAAACTCACAAGAATAAATGTTATGATGAAATCTAAAATACGAAGTAATAATTCGAATGGCTTAATAAGATATTCAATATATCTCTACGCAATATTGAAAAATAATGTTAAATCTTAATGGATAGAACATATTTTCTGCTTATCTTATTTATAGAACAGATAGAGAATTTAAAGCATTCGTTGTAAAACTTGTTCCTATCGTCACTAAAGCGACGCGTGTTCGTTGAGTCAACAGGTTCTTCGATGTTAACAATTGGTCGCGTGACGATGTTGTGTATCCATATCAAGTTAATACACCAATTAGGGAAGCCGCTCAACAAGCGAACATGTATCTCTTAAGAATCGGCTTTTTAGTATAAATAGTAAGATAAGTATAGCGTAGGTATTCAAAGTAGAAAGTGTAAAGTATCACAAGAATTACAATAATCGTAATAATTACGTTACGTCGCAAAGATTAAGTTCTTGACCTTACTACATCGATCGCACAGTAATTATAAGCGCTTTTAATCGCGTCCCGCGCTTCGAGCACGCGCCGATAGACAAAGGGATCTCTATCAAGTCGGATAATTCTCTGTAAATACATCAGTCTTTGACACAATAATTATAATAACACCACTGACAGAGTAAAGCCGTGAGAAATATCGCTTTATGGCATGGAGACGAAAGTACAATACTTATATAAAATACGACTCGAGTTCGGAAATAGGTGATCGAATGTGCTACATTTGCCGGAGGAGAGCACCCCATCCCGGATAAATTCTGCGAAGGAGATTTTAGTAGAAGAGAGAAAAATGGATTTCGATGGAGCCCATTAATACGATGCATAAGCACTTATCGAGAGTATTCAAAAAGCAGCTCAGCAGAATCGTTCTTTATGCGCGGCAAGCCAAATCACTCGATTGGAGAATAAGACATCAATCCCGTTATTATATTGCAAAAAGTGCATGTTTCTGTTATCGATATACATAGGTTTTGATTGTGATAAAACATGAGATTTTTAAATCTTTCTACCTAAGAATCGGAACATCTCGATTAATAACAGATAAATAATTATTACTTGCATTGATAATTTTATGTACTCATTGGTTTCACATTACCCGAAGGTTTATGCGTAAAATTTTGTTCGTGCCAGAACAGAGAAGCAAGAAAAGTAATAAATAACAATTGATAAACTTATCTGAATTATCTAAAATATCTCCATTCACGACGATATAACGAAATTTTGACAGAAGTATCGCAACGCCATAATAAATTTAATTTCGCTAAAACCACCTCGGTCCCAGCTCGGTTTCCGAGCAAACCCTGCTCAAATAGCAATACAACGACTTTATATTTGAAATTCTGCCGTAGTTAGCAGCAATTAACTAACATTATTATCAAATTTCGATCAAATATTTAGCCCACGATGGTGCTTGCACCAAACCAATTCCCTTAGGCCATACAATTGATTTCCAAGATGTCTTATCAAAGCGTACGAACGTCGCGCTGCAATTCACGACTTAAGTTGCTGTAGCTTGCGGTTGAGGCGGTGTCGGCACCTGTGTGTTGACATTTGGCCTATAAAATCGGTTAACTAATTGTTTCAAACTCATTACAACGCCTAGTCCGGTTCCTAGTTCCATGTTGATGAATGAGTCGAGATTATCCTTGCAAGCTGGAACGTACGAAATGAAGTCGATAAATAAAAAATGTCCATAAATAGATCGTTCTACACAAATATACGTGCAGTTCAAAGAATCATGGTACAATCCAAATGGAGATTAAATAAATGTTGGAAGATGATGTTAAGAAAGGAGTATATGTCAAGGTCCCATTTTTTTGCTATGTTCATATCGGACGTGAATGTGATACTTCCAAGAGGCCAGGATGCTGCGAGAATTGTACAGGAAATCTTTTGCAGGTCCATAGAATTTTCTGAAGCTTCCTACATACTTGGTGTCGATATTGGAGGATAATCCGGCGGTGTCTTGATCCAAGTACCATCCTTGCGCTTCATGTGATGCCGATTCGATGCGAATTGTTGTAAGTACACGCTGGCGGGCACCAGACGGAATCTTCTATGATATTCGGGCCGCAGTGCCTCGTCAGATCGGAAGGTTTCGGTCGCGTACTTCCAGAAATGCGTGGGAAATGGCAGGCAGCTTTCTAAATCGTACACCACCGCCCTTTCGTCGGGTGCATATATGAGAATAGCATGGTAGTCCTGCAGAGAAACAAGGCATTCTTATGAAATATTACAGAAGGGAGGAGGAGACGCCGTGGCATTTCTTAACTTAATTATCGTCTCACTGCGATACTAACCCACACAACCAATTTGTCTTCATCCTTCCCCGATCGTTGACGCCAAAGGGGAACGCTTCGTCGTGGGTTGCTTACGAAAACAACGTGACAATGTTGCAATTCGGAAGGATGTCTAGTCGCTACGTCTTGACAGAGCTTCCAAACATTTTCCTCGCTGAAATTGGGTACAAACCGCCCTTTATCTTCGACCAAAAATATTTGTGTAATCTATAATTGATTCGTTTTTCTACCAGAAATACGAAGGAATAGTTATACAAACGATTAACAAAACATTTTATTTGTTACGTATGTCATAGATATTTTATCTGTTTGCATTTTATCTTATTTGTTATTACTTATTTATATCACAGACATAAATAACGAATAAGAGAATGAATTTAAACGAAAATATGGATGTTAATCTTTAAAATTTAAATTACATTCAGGAGAAAAGATCAAAGATTTTTATATTATTTACTACTTAGGCATTATTACGTTGTACTCGTTAAAGATATAAATTTTTTAAATAGAATAATTAATAAATTTAATAATATTAATAATATTAATAAAATATTAAATCAAATAATATTTTATATATAATACCTATCATATAGAGTACATCGTCCAATTGTGGGAGTTACATACATGCGAAAAACCATAAAATTACAACATAATAATAAAGAGAATATAAAGAATATTTAATGATGGCGTTAATTACAGCAAAAAAAGTTCGACCTTTGAGGCTCACTCTGAAAGTGCAAAAATCACAAAAAATCGCCCTACAAAAGTCATAAAAAAAAAACCAGCGTCAACGTTGTTAGATCAAATAAACAGAGTGCAGCTATTATCGAATAATCACAAAACGTATAAGTAAAAAGCTAAAAAGAATCGCTTCACCTACCTGCAGGTTACGTGTTCTGCGCAATTACGAGGAAAATGAAACCGATCTATAATCGTGCTCGTGCAAGCGGTTTAGCGCGACAACAGCGTCGCGTGCCACCACATTTCGTGCGCATTATTTATCGCATGCATTATTAATTGCAATAAAAGCGGGTTTGTGCATTCGCGCCCGTTTAAGCGGCACGCGTTAAGCAGCCGGTAGTTAAACGGCGTGAGAGCCAGTACAGCTGTACTGGTGCCACGAAATAAAAATTCATTTCGCAGAAAGAAAGTGAAGCGGAAAAATGCGAATAAGCAGTCGCACAAAGCTCCCGTTAAATCTCTGACCTATATATTTATCGATCTCCATAAAATAGGTTACTTTACGTCGAAGTACAATACTTTTCGACAGAAATTTCATTTATTCGTATTTATAAATCAAGATAGTTCGGAATAAATTCCAATTCACGAGACAAAAGTGCTGTTTGCTCCAAATGTATTCGAGACTTGAAACTGCGCTCAATTAATTCTTAAACTTTGCGTTACGACACGCTGTTACTAATCGAAATTTTATCTCCCACCCAGTCAAGAATCACCAGCGAAAGCAACAGGAGAGCGTACGATCGACGGGCTATTCAGTATAGTTTCGAATTACGCGCCGTGCAAAAATGGCGCGGTCGTCCGCAACGTATCGATCGGAGCACGGATGCATGCCGCAATACGGCGCGTTTGTTTGTCCGAGGATCGATCGGGGAACCGCGACCAGGTCGGGGCACGCTGTCGTCGATCGGGACGATCACGCAAAGATCGCTTACCAGTAGCAGCTGGTGTTGACGCAATCGGATGCCTTGGTGAAGAGCGGCACCAGGGGCTTCGCGTTCCCGGTCACGCGAGGATCAACGGCCATCCTGCGGACGTTCCTGCGGGACACTACGTGAGATAGGAACCAGGCCGAATGCACCGGACACGCGAAAACACGAGCGCGTTTAAGCGAACCGTGTTAATCACCCCGTGAGCCTCATAACGAAACGTTAAACGATCTCGAACCTCTCGTCCTCGTTCTTAGCCGCGACGCGCACACCCAACCAATCGGGGCATCGTTCAACTACTGCACCTCGGCGCGGGCAGCGCGACTCGTTTAAGGGTTCAAGCCCAGTGTCCCTAAATCGAATGAGATAACCCCACCACGCGGCGCTCTCATAAACCTCCGCGCACCTGCGCACTACGCAGCATGACCTTGCGGACTGTACTCGGGGCGATTTTGGGCGATTTTCCATAGGCCTGTTCTTTTTAGCTCAACTTCTTGCACGGTTCATCTTTTCTCTTTTTCTCTCCAACGTGAAGAGAAAAGGAAGAAAGATGAACCGTGCAAGAACTTTGGCTAAAAAGAACAGACCTCATTGCTTAAAGTAATTTGAATTTCGAAACGTCTTCTCCGAGGAATGTTTCAGGGTTGATAAGTTTTTTTTAACACAATATTGTTTTTTAAATTTTTAATATTTTGAACAGATTTTAAATATAATATTAAAAGACACTTGCTTTAAATATGGTTCAAACAGGTTTTTCATCAATCTTGGAAAATTTTACTGGATATTATATAGAAAATGGATAAAATAGAAAAATTTTAGGAATTTAGTATTTCACAAATTCTTCGGAGTGAAATTTCACTCTAAAAAGTGAAAATTGAACAAATGGTGAAAAAGAGTGGCTCAATTTTCAATCTTTAAGAAATTTCACTCTTTAGAGTGATCTACCCTGAAATCTCATTCTTAAAGATTGAAAATAAAAGCAGGACGGGGTGAGGGAAGGAAAACAATCATTTTTTATGTTTTTTAAATGCTTTCTGTTTTTTTCGTAAGAGTCCTATTTTTTATAAAATATGCACGCGACTGAAGAATCGAGTGTGATCATCGCGCATGTGTGGATCTTTCCCTTGATTTGATAATGGCTGCGTTCCGTTTCACACATGATGCGCTTAATGCATCATTTATCCTTGTTTAACATTCGGTGAATACAAGAATAAAAGATGCATCGTGCGCATCATGCGTGTAACGGAACGCAGCCAATATAACATTGCGCCCGATTGCGCTGACACATGGCGTGTATTGGCGTGCACACACCTAACATGTAACGCAAGCATAAACATGAGATGCAGTGCGTTTCTTACTCGCGTGCAGATTTATTATTGCCGCACGGGTGATAAATAAATTCAATGAGAAATAAATAGAGTAAAAAAAAATAAAGGTTATCTCGCTAGCCTCGTTTATATTTATGCGAGAAACTAGCCTCATAAGTGAAATATTTCTACTTGCATTTTAAACATATCTTGATTACTGTTTTGTTCAGGATACTGTAATTTGATTACTGTACTTTTTATTCATAAATAAAATGAACATTAGAAACAGTAGGAACAGCTTCTTGTCGGTTTTAATGAAAATTACAATATTTGATATTTTTAATAAGAGCTTACGTTGTGCCAACGAATGTTTGATTTTACAGGAAACGTTTCTATATTAGCCTTCAAATTAATGAAATGAACAATTAGGAATAATAGAAATAGCATCTTGCTAATAATGAAAATTATCGTAGTTGATAAATATTTAATATAAAAAGCGATGTTCTGCTGACGCGTATCATTTTAAAAGAAGCATTTGTTCATAGCCTTCATTAATTGTTTAGAGCGTATGATTAGTTAGCATATAGATAAAAATTCCTGATATCACATGACTCACATCTCGCATCTCGTATATAAACTTGTCGAGTACGTCATACTTTGTAGTGATTTTCAAGTTTTCGTAAAACGCAATTTGTCGCGTTGTTCACGTTTCTTCCTGTGCACACTAAAATCAAGTAATAATCACGATAACACAAATATAAACAATAACGATGGCTATAAATCCTGCGAAAGCTATACTCCGGCAAGGAAGAACCGCACTATTCATATGCGATGTTCAAGAAAAGTTTGCGAAGGCTATATTCCAATTCGATAAAATAATTCAAAACTCAACTAAACTGGTAAATTCATGAAATTACATGTTTTACTGTACGATTTATGTTAGAACACATATTGAGGTTATGTTATTTCTCATAATTACAACACTGTTCCTTTCAGCTGAATTTCTGTACAGTTCATTTTTTTCCTTTTTCTCTCCACGTTGGAGAAAAAAGAGAAAAGCTGAGAGGTGCAAGATACGTTTAACTAAAAAGAACACTTAAGGCCATCCAGTTTTAAATTAACATTGTTACAATACAATTGTCGTAGTATAAAATATTATTGTTTACAGATCAGCGCTCTAAGAATTATGAATGTACCTATGCTAGTGTCTGAACAGAATCCAAAATCTTTGGGGAAGACTATTCCTGAACTTGATATCTCTGGAGCCAAGGGACCTTTTGCAAAGATGCAATTTAGTATGTGTACTCCTGAAGTAAGTACACATTATATTCATGTTCTACAAATAGTATTAATATCGGGTACGTAAATACGTGCTTTACTTTCTTCAGATTAATAAGGAGCTTGCGACGCTTTGCAATGGACAAAAACCAGAGTCTATTATACTCATAGGTGTCGAAACGCACGTCTGTGTAGAAAATACAGCTATTGACTTAAGACAATATGGCTATGATGTCCATACTGTGGCAGACTGTTGTTCATCGCGTACCCAAGAGGACAGATTACTAGCTTTGGAGGTATGTTCTACGATTAAGCATGTCCTTTTTAACTGAATTTCTTATATAGTTCATCTTTCTCTTTTTCCTTTTCATATTGGAGAAAAAAAAGAAAAGATAAATTGTTCAAGAAGTTCAGCTAACAAAAAGAAAGACTTGTGCTATTCAGTTTATTAACTATTATTGCAATATAAATGTTATCATTTTTAGATAAATTTCTGTTCTTTTGGGGGAAAAAAAAACATGTTTTAAATATATGTTTGTTTATCAAATGTATTGTCTTATTAAATATCCATTGCTCAAATTATATTTATTTTTTACAGAGAATGCGAGACATAGGATGTCACATAACCACTTCCGAGAATGTTATATTCAAGCTTATAAGGGACGCAAGCAGTGAACAATTCAAAACTATACTGTCTCTCGTCAAAACACCAACTCCATATACAGGGTTAGTTCCTGTGTCAAAGATATAAATTTCTTGAAAAGATCTTTCTATATTTGCTCTATGTACATACGTTTATACCAATATATACCAGGCATATATATCATTAGTCTATATGGTCATACAGTCATAAATGGTTCTAAGGAATAAAAAGATTATATTTTATTATAAAATATCAATGTATTTACTTATATAAGACAAAAAGTTTAATGTATATAAGTACTTTGTACTTTGTATTTATAAATCAAGTTTGTATCAAGTAAATCAGGTTTGAATGTTTATTTCATGCCTGTCGAGCCAAATCCTTCCGCACCTCTACTCGTATCGGTTAAGGTATCTACTTCTTCTATTTTAGGATATGTAATTTTTTCACAAATTAATTGAGCTATGCGATCACCAGGTGTAACTTCGAAATCTTCGTTACTGTGGTTGAATAGTACTACACCGACATTACCACTGTTTCAAAAAATAAATAAATAAATAAAATAAAAACAATGGTACTTTTGCTCCATTATCGGGCCTTAAATTTAATGCTTCCTTAAATTCATCTTTAGATGCTCTGTAGATGCCAATAAAATAATTTATAGAATATCTAAAATTAAATCTGATGAAGCTTCAAATATAAGGCCTGACTAAATATGAGCATTTGACATTTTGTTATCCTTCAATGCTTTCCAGCAAGACACAGTATAATATAGTGATGTCAGTGATTCTGATAGATGATTATGTTATATATCATTTGTCTCTTGCTGGAGGGAAAACACCCTTTGTCTCTATAGAAACTATGTATAGTGCATACCGATAATCTGCATCTATTACACCTGCACCAACATCTATGTGATTTTTCCATGCTAGACCAGATCGTGGTGCGATTCTGCCGTATGTACCAAAAGGAACTTCTATTTGCAAATCAGTCTTGACTAATTCCTTGCCATGGGCTGGTATAATATACTTGTATGCACTGTATCACACAAGAGAAATATTTTAAAAACTTACACGATCTTGATCAAATTTCAACGATTATTGTCATAGATAGGGAAATGTCACAATGCTCACCAAATACATAATTATCATAATCGAAGGCAGATTTCTTTGTTCTCACTAGGCTTATTAGGTTACTTACTATTTATTTTATATATAACATATATTTATATATAATATTCTGAACGAATGTAACTAATACAGCAATTGTAGATTGACCGATATTACACTCTTATTGTTACTAATATTTGGTAGAGCAGAGTAATAGGAAAATTAGTGAAGTCAGTAATCATAGTGTCGAAATGATGTACCTCCGTAAATCATAGCCTGCCGCATAATCCGAACCTTTCATCGGTGGGAACGCCTTGTCCGACAGCTTAGCGAACTTCAGTACGTTTCCTGACATGACGAAATTGTTATCTCTCACGAATTCCTCGCAGTCTGATTCACAAGAATCACGAGTGCCCAACGATGCCACGCTATGCCACGCCGGTTTGCCGCCAAAACGAGATGATCGTTGGTAGTGGCGGTAAACACTAAACAGCTGCATCCGTCGTTATTCATTTTATTGTAACGTATTTTTATGAATTTGAGAAACACAATTAATTCGCAAAGCTAAAAAAAAACGTGGCATATTTTGGCAATCGCGATCAATGATTGTAAGATATGTGATAATGAAATTAGTTAATCGTGTATAAGTCATTGTTTTTACCGCGAAATTTAAACGTACGGATCTTTCGTTTTTCTATCTATGAAACGAGGAACAAAAAAAAATGTTACTCTACGTATAATGGGAGAAATATTAGAAACAAGAGTAAATATTAGAAATAAAAAAAATTAGGAAATGAATAACAAAAAATATATAAATAGCTTGTTGTATTTTATATGTATTTGTTGTGCGTTTTACGTTTATTTTTTACTCTTAATTTTTTTATCTTTTATTTATTTCTGTACTTATATTTCTTCCATTGTGCAAAGGACTTTAAGTGACTCTTTAGGACTGTTCTTTTTAGCTGAACTTTTGTACCAGTTCATCTTTCTTCCTCTTTTTTCCTCCTGGAGAGAAAAGGAAGAAAGATAAACCGGTACAAAAGTTCAGCCAAAAAGAACAGGTCTTTTGACTAATCGAACGTCACTGCATGTCTCCAATAATATTCTTTTAGCGTTAAACTATTTTTATCTGTCTCATACGGAAGTACTTCTCGTTTCTTTGAGGTTACGGTAATAAAAAAAAAAACTGGATCCAATACTATCAGAATATAGAACGCAATGGACGATAATGTACGGGTCTATATGCAGACACAGTGTTCATATAGAGAACAACAGTATAATTAGCTGCAAAACTGTGCGTTATTATCGCAAAATGGTTAATGTCGATGACCGACCTCTCATGCGGCTGTATAAAACTCGACATGCACTGATCGACATCGCTCGTACAGTGTAAAATGACATGAAGGCGAAACAAATGCCGGTGTTTTCAGAGAAAAACTGTTTCTCTCCACCGCATGCAATCGCGTAAAGCCCGTATCAGACTACCGACTCTGCAGGCCGACCCGACTGCCAACTCTGACTGCCGATCAATAATGGACCAATCACAATAAGACTGATTCAATGTGATTGGTCCATTATTGGTCAACAGCCAGAGATGGCAGTCGGCTTGCAGAGTCGATAGTCTGATACGGGCTTAAAGCGCATGAGTGATGGCCAGCGTGCCTCGCGGATAAAGCCCAAGACACAATGCGAGGAATAGCGATAGCGACAGGAATAACATGATTTTAACCTATCAGAAATCGGATATATCGGAATACACAGTTTCTGAAATCGCTATCGCTATTCCCTCGCATTGTGACCACTGACAAGATAGCAGACAAATTGAATATTTCTGATTTATTTATGTCTATATAATTTGGGAATCTCGTTTGAGGAAATTTGGGAAAAGCATTTAAACATTTAGGAAATAGTATTTTTCTTGTAATTAACAAATTTTATCATGCGTCAAGTTAGCAGACAGCGATTTTATTTAATGTGTTTTATGAATGGAATCTATTAGAAATTATTTGAGGAAGACGTCTTCATTATTATTTTCATTTGGGAAAAGTCATTATTTGGTAATTCAATAGATCCGGGCTTAATTGATTAATTTTTGATGATTTTAGGTTTACTATATTCGTTGAACTACACCCATACTACATCCGGGCTTTGTTCGTTTTTTCATAATATATAAATCTATTGACTTACCAAATAGTGACTTTTCCCAAATGAAAATAATAATGAAGACGTCTTCCTCAAATAATTTCTAATCGATTCCATTCATAAAACACATTAAATAAAATCGCTGTCTGCTAACTTGACGCATGATAAAATTTGTTAATTACAAGAAAAATACTATTTCCCAAAGGTTTAAATGCTTTTTCCAAATTTCCTCAAACAATTTCCAAATTATATAGACATAAATAAATTAGAAATATTCAATTTGTCTGCTATCTTGTCCATTTTCTCTGTTTATTTATAAAAATTTGAGCAAAAGTTGAGAAATTTTAAAAAATATTTATCAAACGCAAAGTTTTCTTGAATAGGCATGTAATAACTATATATGTAATTTTTAAAATATATAATTTTTATAAGCACCGAATTTTTTAATTCATCATTCAGTTAGACATTTTTGACATATATAATATGTACATTTAAGATCGTTTTTTCTAAAAAAGATCTTAAAAATACGTATTTATAAAATTTCAAAATAATTTTAAAATAATCCTCTCTTCTAATTTTTTATCTAATATTTTAAATATTGTAAAATAAAACGATTAAAGAATGAACAGAAGAAAAATACTGATTTTATATAAGTAAAAAATGATATTTACCGCGAGGTTGCTCCGCCGGTGCTCGATGTCTCTCTTAGACCTCCTCCTCCTCCTCTCAGAATCGGGTTGACATCCTCTCGCACAGGACACTCGCGTAAAACACTCGCGAATAATACACTATAATCTCGCGCGGACTAATTATAATTATAAATGTCCATTAGTCCGATAACTTGAACGGCACTCCCGAAGCAAACGCGCGACGCGACGAACCGGCTGCGGTTCGTTCACTTTCAATTAAATCGGCGACGAGGGTACGTTAGCTTCCCCGTCGTTGGATTTTTACACGAAAACAACGATTTTACTCAAGTGTCTAAAAATTTATCTAGATATATCGTTCAGATAGATCCGAAAATTTTTAGTTACTTGAGAAAAACCGTTTTTTACGTGTATATCCTTCGGGTACTGAGCCCTCCCACCACGTCAAGGTCGTACCCATGAGAGGGAAGATATCACCTGAAAAATGTAATATACACAGCTATTATCTATATTGCTATGCAATTATCGGTTAACTTTTAGAAACGAATATGAAACACACGTCTGCAATTCGTCACCATTGCGAAATAAATTCAGAGCAGATAAAAGGACTGAATATCTTTTATTTATAGACGATGTCTGTAAGATATGATTAGAATCAACGGAATAGGCTAGAGTTTATAATAAAAAAGAGAAACGTTCCTTTTATTATCGACAAATAGTACCAAAGTTACGTTTAATTTTTTATACGGATCGTATAACGAAAGGGGCACGAGAATAAAAAATTAATTAAATTATTAATTACATTATGAACTATATATTAATTGTGAAAGCAGAAATTGCGTTATTTGCGTGAGAATATTAACGTTGCTTTTTTATGACTCGCGTGACTACCGTTCGTACAAACAGGTAATCGTGTCGCGTGCCGCTCTTCTTCACATTTTTATTTGAAAGGTAATCGCGAATAATGCTAGATACAATACAAAACGTTGTATTTTACGAATACTCACAGTATACGATTACTAGCTCGCAAAAGGATCGAGATGAGAATCACGGAACAGATATTTCGTACGATTCATTCGTCCTTTTATGAATAATTAATCTTGCGAGCTAGTAATCGTATACCGTAAGTATTCATATAGTACAATGTTTCGTATCATATCCAGCATTTTTCGCGATTACGTTTCAAAAAGAAATGTGAAGAAGAACGGCACGCGACACGCTACCTTAAAAACCTTTTTGATATAAATATTCGTATTCATTTGAAAACTCAAGACTCCCTTTTAAGCAAGGAAAAATTATTTGAAACCACTTGTAACAATTATTAATTAAAACATTTAAATAAATAATAGAATGCGTGCATATCCTTTAACTAGAATAACTCTCAATGCGTTAATCTTTTGTTAAAAATATTCAGTACATTGCGCGGATTTCGTGTAACGAAAAGTTATTACAAACTAATAATCGCTTATTGTAACACGATTGAAATATACAAAATATTCATGAGCTGAGTGTGTGCGTAACGAATGTAAGAAGTAGAGCAAAAATCGTGCAATAAGGTCTATTTGTTAGAGAATATTAAAAATGTAAAAGTTATTACTTTACTTTTATCTCATAATATATGTACGTTACTATTATAAATTGTATTATGAGAATCTAACGCTTAAACAGATGTCCGGCTATTGGGACATTTACCTTATCTGTAATGAATTGCATGAATGAATGCGAAATCCGGAGCGACTCGTAACACGCAGCCGCCCTCCTCTGAAATCGCCGAGCGAATGTCGAAATGACGACGCAGTGCGTCACCGCGCCGCGCGACGCGATCCCACTCCTCGTTATTCCGCTGGCGCTCGGCCCCCCCCCCCTGCTCGCCGTTCGGACATCCAACCGTCGCGTATGAAAAAATATTCACGGTTTATTCAATGAAAACGTAATTTGTAATTATTCGCGTGGGCGGTATTTTTGATGTTTCAACGTTACGTCTCAATTTTCATTATTCTTTTTATAATGAGAGATTCATATTTAAATAAAGGTTGATAATATTCTTACATTCTTTACACAAAGTACACGCAAATTTTCTTAATGTTGCATTGAAACAATTTGCGCTAAATACAGCTTTTTCGACTAAAAGTATTAAATATCTTGTTAAGTATCATTTAATTTTTCAGCTAAAAAATTAATTTGAGACGCTACGATTGCTGCAAATTACTCTGTGTTTCAGAAATTCTTTAAACTTATGTATATACAATGCCAATAACGGCTCAGTAAAATAACTGTTACAAATTATTTAAAATAACAGTATAGAATAAGTTCCAGAAACTTACTTAAAATATAAAATCGTAGAAATCGGTGAAAAAAACTGATACGACTTGTTTAAAGTAGCTGAGTTAACTTGATTGAATATTCAGTTTCGAGTTTCTTAATATTCAACAACTTTTATTTTCACATTAGGAGATGCGAAATTGAAATTTTCGTTTAAGGATCCATTAATAAACATTGTATCATTAAAAGATTTATTAAATAAAAACGTAAAGATTGTTACT